TAGAGGAAGCAAATAATAAAGGTTAGAGGAAAAATCACCGGCTCTTTCAAAAGAAAAAAAAATTGATGAGCCTATAATGTAGACTCAACTCACCAAGGAACTAAAGGAGAGGTCCCAGCTGCAGTGACACACACACTGTAATGATGCTATACTCTGCAGGATGGGGCCACACCTGGGTTCAAATCCCAATTCAAACTGAACACTGGTCAAAGTAGCATACACCTGTAATACCAGCAACTCAAGCAGGCTGAGGCAGGAGGATTGTATGCTTGAGGCTGGCCTGGGCAACAGGCAACACTGTCTCTGAAAGCTGACATGGTGGCCTACACCTGTGATCCAAGCTACTAGGGAGGCTGAAGCAGGAGGATTTTAACACAGCAAGGCCCAGTCTTTAAAAAGAGAGAAAAAGAGAGGGGAGAGATGATATAAATTACCAATATCAGGAATGAAAAAAGATGTCATTACAAATCCTTCATACATTGAAAGGATTATGATACTCTGTACATTTTCCAATAAAGTCAGCAACTGAGGCAAAATAGACAAATTGTTTAAAAACCACAAAACACTATAGCTGACTAAAAAAGAAACAAAACCAGAATAACTACATCTGTGAAAGAACTAGAGTTCTTATTTGAAAACTTTTCTATAAAGAAAAGGCCAGTCCCAAATGGCCACTTTATCCAACATTTAAGGAAGAAATAATACTAATTCTACACAAAGTTTTACAGAAAAAGGAGGAAGTTGCAAAATAATTTTCTAAGGCCAAAATTACCCTGATATTGAAACCATAGATACTAAAAGAAAACTACAGATCATCATCTCTGTTAGATGCAGAAATTCTCAACAAAGAATCAAAAGGGATCTACACTATGACTAAGTGGAATTTATACCTAAAATTTATAGAGTGGTTATTTTATAGTCATGCTTTTTCATTCAAAATAATATAATCTAACCTCTTCACATGTCTTCTTTAACAGACTAGACTCTTAATTTCTTTCCAGTTTTCAAATATCAAATCCACTCTCCAAAAACAAAGACTTGCCATCACTGAAGAGTCCAAATAATAGGCCAAAGACATTGGACCTCACATTAGGAATTCTGCTTCATGGGTACTACAGTGGCAAAGTAGGAATGCAACACTCTGTGAGGCTGGTTCACATGAGAAGGTGTCGTATTTGTGTCCAAAGACCTACATCAACTCAATTTTTTGTGGGGGAAGGGGTATATGGAGGAAAAGTATGTTCATGAGTTGGGGCCAGCTAATTGCTGGGGATGGATCAAGGTATGAAAATCCTGTTGTGAGTGCGTTCTCTCTTTCTCTCTGTCTCTCTCTCCCTTCTGTTTTGCTCATGGAGGAAATCAGCTTTAAAAAAAAACATTTTAGGGGCTAGCAGGTGGTGTGGTGGTTAAGGCGTTGGACTCCCACATGGCCAACCACAGTTTACAGCCTGGGCCTGCGACTTGCTTTCTCACTTTCCTTCTTCCTCTCTGTCTCTCTCTGGTCAAATTAGAAATAATAATGATAATGAATAAAATAATTCTTTAAAGAATAACATTCTAGGTACCAGCAGTTGACGTAATGGCTGTGTTGCTGGACTCCCGTGTAGTCGACCATGGTTCGAGACCCAGACCCATTCGCTTAAACTCACACCAGGCGCGTGTACATGTGTGCCCCCAAGATCCCGAGAGGAGAATGGAGGAGAAGGGATTGTAGCATGGCCATCCCCCCCGGGGGGGGTGATTTCTTGCTTTCTGTCTCTTTGTCTCTCTCTGTCTTTCTGCCGAGCGCACGCACCCTATAGCAAAAACCCCTCCCCCTCCAAAGAAAAAGAATAACATTCTAGGGCAAGCTCCATAGCACAGTGTTTAAGGGATCCAGATTCTACATGACTGACCATAGTATGAATCCTAGCCCCAGTATCTTGAAAAAAAGAAAACACTAGGTACATGTGTATGTGTACCTCAAATCTTGATGGGATGGAGAAATGGAGGAGAAAGGATTACAGTGTAAGCATGCCCCATTGGGATTTATTCTCTCTCTCTCCCTCCCTGGCAAACACACACCATCTGGCAATTGAAAACAAAAACTCTGGGGCCAGTAGGTGGCATATTGGCTAAGGCCACTTTTTTTTTTTTTTAAAGAATTATTTTAAAAAAACAAACTATAACCTTTTGGGCTGATAGTAATGTTCTATATCTAGATTGTGAGTATGGTTACATGTGCATACAGTTTATCAAAACTCATCGAACTGTTCATTTAAATAAAGTTAATTTTTTTAACATGCTGCTTTAGCTATAACTTGTGTTTTAGCTCTGAAGTATTCACGAAATGTGCGGAGTGTCCTAAACAGAAGAGACAGTTCTGAAATCCCTTCTAGTTCTAACACTACATCCAAAGTAAACTGATATATACCACAATGAAATCCCAGTGAGGAAACCTTACCCTTGTTTATACATTATAATGGCTCTATGTCAGTGCAGAAGTCACCATTTAGGACTTACCACTTGTGACTCAGATTATTTTTTAATTTAATCAGATCTATGTTTGTTTATCTTCTGTTTCATTAGACCTGGCTTAATCATACAATGTTACCCTTTCCTATAAACATAAATTTTAAATGGTCTTAACAGCACTGAGTTTACCATATACTTCGGTTAGAACAACTCTAGATGACTTGGCTTATTCATTCTTGTTTGTTTTCAGCTTTATTCATTCTTCAAATAGCATCTGCATTCATCTGAAGAAACTAAAAGTAAGCTGATTACCGTAATAGTGTGGGGCTTAAAGTTCAGATCTCTAAACTCTTATTTAAAAGCAGGTAATATGAAGCATTATTTTCTTAACCTACTTGTTTGGTTCAAGGATGGACTTCCGTGCTAGATTTGCTCTAATGGTATATCATTCCTGTCTTTTCTTGGTAGAAAAAGGAGTGGCATCTTAATCAGACTTCATCTGTTAATAGTATTATTTTTACTTTCTGCTCTTACTTAATGCTCTTAGGGATTTTCATATCTGCCTGCCATCTCATGTTTCCATTAAGTGAGTTGTCAATATCCTAGAGGTTTATTCATAAAGTTCAAACTTGATGATCACTGATATTTATGTAACATTTGATTTATAGTCACCATGTTGGAAACAAATCTAAAGACAAGACCCCAAAAGAATTGTAAGTCACTTTACAAAGATGCATGAAACCAAATTTGTACTTAAGTGGGTGAAGGGAAAATAAGGAAGAGGAATGTCAGATCGCAGCCATAGCTGAAATTTTACATGCTGTAAAGGCCAGACTGCTTATTAAAGCTAGGCCTCGGATTTGGCTCTAAACTTTATAGCTTCCCAGATAAAATATGGGGCTATGGGGCAACCAAATAAATTTAAATTATTGATAAGCAACAAATAATTTTTAGTGTGTGTACCTCATGTTTTTATTTGTTGAATCTGGCGACTCTGGCACAGAGAGTAAAATGCAACCATTGTGATTACTAAGTTACCTGATTAAGTAACCTCAGCTAAAATTTAAAGGTTATCTATTTAGTTTCTTGAACCTTAGAAAGTCTCTCACTCAGATGAAGACTTGTGCCTTAAAACTTGAAGTTCTCATTAGTATTTCTACCAGTGTAACTGACTTTATGGCTCCTAACGGGTTTATTTTGAGATTTGCATTTTTCCTAATGAATATGAAAACATTCTTAATCAAATGTTCAAATTATTGTTATGGCCTATCTCATATCCTGCTAAATATTCTGACTTTTTGAAGATCATGAAGATAACCCTATACTAAGAGAATCTATGATCCACATTAGAAGAGCATAGTAGAAATTTGAGCTCTTAAACTGTATTTTCCTGTGCTAATAGACATCGCATGTAGTGTGATCTCCTGAACAGCAGGACAAACCCCACTGAGGGTGGCAGAGACTTTAGTCCCTCCTCTGTATTGTACCCTGTCCCTTTTACTCTGCATCCTGATGAACAGATTTACAAGATTTGGGGATCTGTGGCTCACCTATACAACAAGGGAATGTTACCATCTCACCCCCAATCTGACGGTTCCCTAGCCGTGGGTCGCAATAAACTGTTGGTGTGTTAGTAATTTCTAACTGGGCATATATATCTATCACAGTGGTTGGTCCTCAGAGGTTCTCACTGGTCTGAGTTTCTTCTCATTATATTCATTCTTGTTTGCAGAATTTCTGACACTCATTGTTTTTTTAAGCTGACTCCTTGGTGTTTTGCCCTAGTCACTGCCTTATAACAGCTAATCTTCCTCTGAAAGGTTTCCCTACTTTATATATGCCTCTTGTATTTCTGGAGTTATAACTGGAGTTGGTGTGGTCAGTTTAACTATTAGATTATCAAAAAAGTCATGGCATATTTTTCTATGTAAAAGTGTCTCATGACTTTCTTGATGAACCAGTAATTTTAAACAAAGTTTTAATTTGATATATTTAGGGGGAAAATGTCACTCCTTAAAAATTGACTGAATCACAAATGATTATTTTTACTAAATTTTAATTGTGTCCTCTGCTTAGCTTTTTTATTTATTTATTTGGGGGGGGGAGAGGTCTTTTTTTTTGCTCTAGAGCGCGTGCACTCGCCAGACAGACAGAGAAAGACAGAGAGACAGAAAGTGATAAATCACCCTCCAGGGGGGATGGCCACGCCGCAATCGTTTCTCTTCCGTTCTCCTCTCGGGATCTTGGGCACGCACACACGCGCCCGGCGTGAGTTTTAAGCCACCAGGTCCGGGACGTGAACCGCGGTCGACTATGTGGGAATCCAGGGACATAGCCATTACGCTAACTGCTGGTCCCTCTGTGCTTAGCTTTTTAAACTCTCTTTTGTACTTTCCTTTTACTCTGCTGTTGTTTTAAATTTCAGTTTCATTGTAGAATAGAGCTTTACCTCATAACCCTGAAGAAAAACACTGAGATAATAATAGATTAAATGTGATCAGAGGTTTTTATTTCTTTTTCTTTTATTCTTACCTAAATTTGAATAGGTGATGGAGAGTGAAGAATTTATGTTGCTTCCAGCCAATCAACTCATTGATATAATATCTAGTGATGAGCTAAACGTCCGCAGTGAAGAACAAGTGTTCAATGCAGTGATGGCCTGGGTCAAATACAGTATTCAAGAAAGACGTCCTCAGTTACCCCAGGTAATGATAGAAATACTGTTCTAAGAGAATGCTTTGTGTTAGATGAACTAATATAAATTTGTCTTGCAAAACATGAGACATCACTGTCTCTTGTATTATATACTGTAAGAAAGTCCATGTGTTTCAAAATAATCAAGGAAATAAATGTTTAGAATCACTTTGACCACTTAGCATTGTGAACCTTTTGCTTCTTTGTATCCCCTCTATTTTGAATCAGTTCTACATTTGAGCTGCAGTACAAGTCAAAGCCCAAATTGCAGGGTCAGCAAGTGGCATAATAGTTAAGACATTGCACTGCCACTTGGCCAACCTTGGTTTGAGTCCCAGAACTGGGTGTGTGTGCATGTGTACCCAAAATCCCAGGAGGAGAATGGAGAAGAGGGGATTGCAATGTGGCCAATCCCTTTGAGGGGTGAATTCTCCGTTTCCTTTATACTCTGTATCTCTCTGGTGAGCATACATGCCTCATGGCAAAAACTTTAAAAGAAATTTTTTAAAAGACCTGAATTTGTATAAAATGAACAAAGAAAACAAGGATGCCCCTTTTTCTATAAGCCTAGAAATCCTACCACAATTGGATGAGCTAAGGGATATGTTGTGGTATAAGTGTCACAGACTGAAATATTTAAGACCTGTACTTGTTTTGTTGTTGTTGTTGTTGTTGTTTTAGGGAGAGATTTTGCTATAGGGCACATGCACTCACCAAAGAGTCAGAGAGACAGAAAGTGAGAAATCACTCCCCGGGGGGTGGCCATAGTTGAATCCCTTCTCCATTCTCCCCTCAGGATTCTGGGCACACACACATGCACACACACTTCCAGCACAAGTTTGAAGCCTCCGGGTCCAGGACTCAAACCACAGTCAACTTCGTGGGAGTCCAGCAACGTAACCATCATACCATTTGCTGCTCCCCCATTCTTGTTTTTCTGATTATAGTCCTTAGCAACTTAACAGGATAGTGATCTAGATTGTTTATGAATTTGAATCCAGTTTTTGACAAGCTTATAACATTGCTGAAAGTTTAAATAACATCCTATAGTAATATTAATATGCTTTCTATTTTCTAATTATTCTATATTACTGAATTGATGGTTAGAATAAATTTAATTAAATTTTAATATTTATGCCTTCCCTCCTCCTACTTTATTTGTTGTGTTCAAGTAGACTCCAAAACAATTGACAGCACAGTAGGGGGTGCATGGGTCTGTGTTCACTTAAGTATACTGGGTGTGTGTGCATGTGTACCCAAAATCCCAGGAGGAGAATGGAGAAGAGGGGATTGCAATGTGGCCAATCCCTTTGAGGGGTGAATTCTCCGTTTCCTTTATACTCTGTATCTCTCTGGTGAGCATACATGCCTCATGGCAAAAACTTTAAAAGAAATTTTTTAAAAGACCTGAATTTGTATAAAATGAACAAAGAAAACAAGGATGCCCCTTTTTCTATAAGCCTAGAAATCCTACCACAATTGGATGAGCTAAGGGATATGTTGTGGTATAAGTGTCACAGACTGAAATATTTAAGACCTGTACTTGTTTTGTTGTTGTTGTTGTTGTTGTTTTAGGGAGAGATTTTGCTATAGGGCACATGCACTCACCAAAGAGTCAGAGAGACAGAAAGTGAGAAATCACTCCCCGGGGGGTGGCCATAGTTGAATCCCTTCTCCATTCTCCCCTCAGGATTCTGGGCACACACACATGCACACACACTTCCAGCACAAGTTTGAAGCCTCCGGGTCCAGGACTCAAACCACAGTCAACTTCGTGGGAGTCCAGCAACGTAACCATCATACCATTTGCTGCTCCCCCATTCTTGTTTTTCTGATTATAGTCCTTAGCAACTTAACAGGATAGTGATCTAGATTGTTTATGAATTTGAATCCAGTTTTTGACAAGCTTATAACATTGCTGAAAGTTTAAATAACATCCTATAGTAATATTAATATGCTTTCTATTTTCTAATTATTCTATATTACTGAATTGATGGTTAGAATAAATTTAATTAAATTTTAATATTTATGCCTTCCCTCCTCCTACTTTATTTGTTGTGTTCAAGTAGACTCCAAAACAATTGACAGCACAGTAGGGGGTGCATGGGTCTGTGTTCACTTAAGTATCTGGCAAATGGGAACTGTGTCTTTAATAGTATTTATTGTCTCATAGGTGCTGCAGCATGTTCGTTTGCCTTTGCTTAGTCCCAAGTTCCTGGTGGGCACAGTAGGCTCTGATCCCCTCATCAAAAGTGATGAAGAGTGCAGGTATGAGCAGCCCTGAATGGGAAGAGTCAACTAGAATTTCTTTTAGTAATTTCCTTATTTGTATTGCTTCCTAAATATTGAATTTCTTAGTGCTATAACCAGGACAGTATTTAACAGGTTTTTCTTCTGGGCTAGGGTCAAGAGGAGGAGAAGGAAGAAAAGATGGAACTTCCAGTTTTTCATTCCATTAGTTTTTTTATGTGGGTGCTTATTGGTGTAGAAGTGGCAATAAAGAGGTAGATTTCTAAGATTTTAATGCAAGCTTGAACAGCCAATTTTCTGCTAATATTCTTTTTCTTGAGATACATTGAGTAGTGCTGTTGACTCTGTGTCAGTGAGCACTTGTCCATTCCATCACATATATCTAGTTGGGAAATAGGACCAACCTTGCTCTCTAAGATTGTGGACAGATTTAAGATCTATCGCCATCGGGACCAGCAGTTGGCGTAATGGCTATGTCGCTGGACTCCCATGTAGTTGACAGCGGTTCACGTCCTGGACCAGGTGGCTTAAAACTCACGCCGGGCACGTATGCGTGCATGGCCAAGATCCCGAGAGGAGAATGGAGGAGAAGGGATTGTGGCGTGGTTATCCCCCCTGGGGGGTGATTTCTCGCTTTCTGTCTCTCTGTCTCTCTCTGTCTGTCTGGCAAGCGCATGTGCCCTATAGCAAAAATCCTCTCAAAAAAAAAAAAAAAAAGATCTATCGCCATTTAGTTTAGTTTAGTTTGGTTTTAGTTTTTTGCTATAGGGTGCATTGCTCTTCCAGAGATAGAGTGAGAGAGAGGGAAGGAAAGTGAAATAACACCTCCCAGGGGCATGGCCACACCATAATCTGTTCTCGAGTTTCCTCTCAGCCTTTAGGCACATACACCCAAATTTTCAAGCCACTGGGTCTGGGACTTGAACCATAGAATCAACCATTTGGGATCCAACATCTTTATTTTTTTAAATTTTTTTGGAGATATTTTCGCTATAGGGCACGTGCGCTCGCCAGACAGACAGAGGCATAGAGATAGAAAGCGAGAAATCACCCCCCAGGGGGGATGGTCACACCACAATCCCTTCTCCTCCATTCTCCTCTTGGGATCTTGGGCACGTACGCACACATGCCCGGCGTGAGTTTTAAGCCACCGGGTCTGGGACGCGAACCACGGTCGACAACGTGAGAGTCCAGCAACATAGCCATTATGCCAACTGCTGGTTCCCGGGATCCAACATCTTGATCTCCATGCCACCTGCTGACCCTGTCACCTTTCGACAGATTTCTGTGAGAGCTAAGTAAAGCAGTTTCAAAAGTTTGGTTTTTTCCCAAGAATTATTTTATTTTATTTATCACTTGTATGTTTTTTAAAATTTTGCCACAGGGCATGTGTGCTCACCAGAGAGAGAGAGAAAGCCTCCAGGGACAAGACTCAAACCACAGTCAGCCATATGGGAGTCCAGCACTTAAAATTCACACCACCTCCTGGCCCCCAAACATTCTTCTTTGACTAAAAATACTCTAAATGCTTTTAGAAAGGGGGGAAAGTCCATTTTTAAAAGACTGTCTCTATAATATATTCGGAATTTACTAAATTTTTCCAGTTTGACAGATTTTAAAATTTAGATTCAAACCTGAAGTCATCTGACATTTTTTACCATTTTTCCCAAGTAAAAGAACAAGTCGCTACTCAGAACTCCTTAAACTACACTGATCTCTGGGCATCCTTAGTGATCAAAGCAATTTGGATTATCCCTGGTTCTAGAACAGAAGTAGACCCGTACACCTACTTGCATTGATTTCTTCTATAATCTGAAGCCTATTTCTTTAAACGGGAGATAGTAGAGGAAGTTTCTGATGTTTGTTTTTTAAACTTAAAAAAAACAGACAAACGGCAACTAATTCCTCTATTTCCAGTAGAGAAAAAGAAAACCATGTGAATTATGCATGCTGAAATTTGAGGAAACAATACATGGTGCCACTTCCTCCATTAAACATGAATCAGATTGGACCAGTAAGTGGCATGGAGGTTCAGGGCACATAGCTGACTCTGTGGTTAGAGTTCTGGACCTAGTGGCTTGAAAATCATACTCGGTGTGAGTGTGTGTATGCCCAAAATTCTGAAAACAGAATAGAAGAGAAGGAATTGTAGTCCAATCCCCCTGAGGAAGGGATTTCTCACTTTCCCTTTCCCTCTCTCTAGTGCGCACACACCACACCCTGTGGCAAAGACCTAATAAAAGAAAAACAAAAGAATACCCTTTCTGGACTAGCCTGTGGCATGGTGGTTAAGGCAGCTGGATCCCACATGGCTGACTACACAGTTCGTTTCCAGCCAGTGGCTTAATAAACACACACGATATGTGTGTGAATGTGCACAAAATCCTGAGAGGAGAAGGGTTTATGGCATGGCCATCCCCTTGGGGGGTACTTTCTCACTTGCCCCGCTTCCAGAGAGCACACACATCCCATAGCAAAACTGGGCAGGGGGGCGGGGAGGAGAATACCCTGATTTTCTATCCTCACCATTTACTGTTAGTTGTGTGACCTTAGACACACAACTTAACCTCTTTGGGCTATAGTTTCTTCCTCTATTAGTGGGGATAATATTGGTCATCAGAAAAGTCATGACACATTTTTGCATAGAAAAGTGCATCGTGTCTTTTCCAGCAACCCAATAACAGTGTTTATTCTGTAGGGCTATTGTGAGAATTAAAATGAGGTAAAATCTATTTAACACTTAAAATGGGGACTGGCACATACCTGTAAGTGTTGTTACCATGAATGTCATATTGGCATGCTAGATATCACTCTATAGTATACTTTCTATGAACCCTTGAATGACTTTAAACCCCCTGTTAGAACAAAGTCTTTAAGGATGTGAAGGTGGAAAATCTTTTGATCATTGGCTTGCTTTTTTTGTTATTTTTTGATTTTGCATTTAGGATAAATTCAGAGGGGTGCATTAATGGGTCATAAACTGCAAGAGAAATGAAAATAGAGGGTAGTTTAGGAAACAGAATTGAGGGAGAATAGAGGAACTGAATTTCCACTAATCACACTGATGCACCTAAGGACTCAAGTGAAGTAAGTATAGACATAAATAGTTTACATTTAACAAGATAAGTACTAGGTTCTTCTCTTAGAACAACTTAATTTGACAGGAAAAAAATTTATTCATCTCAGTAGACTTAATGAAAGTAAGCCATTCATAGGATTCCAAACAGCAAATTAGTATTAAGGGAAAGTACAGTGTTTGTTTTTAGCAATTGAATTTTTGACCCAGTTTGATGAATTAACTTGGAAAATACTAGTTCCCTGGAGGATATCCTATTGTACTTTGCCAGTATTCTGCAAAATCTATTAAAATTCATTCGAAAGTAGTAACTATGCAGGCTGATAACTGAGCTGTAAGTTTTAGTTTCTATAAGTTATTACTAGCTCTAAGCATGTTGAACTTTAACCTGACTTTGCATTGAAATATGGTTAGGATGGAAGTGCCAATTGATTCACACCTCATAGTGTGAAAACATCATTGTTTTCATGTTTATGCCAATTTTACTATTGGTTGGCATTCATGATTGGGTTTAATTTATGCTTGCCTCCTTTTGCCAATTTATACATTCCTCAGCTATTTGGGGAATTAACTCACAATGTTATTTAGACGTTAGGAATAAAAGGCAGAATTTCTTTCTACAGAGACTTGGTAGATGAGGCTAAAAACTACCTCCTGTTGCCTCAAGAACGACCACTAATGCAAGGACCAAGAACAAGACCAAGGAAACCTATCCGATGTGGAGAAGTACTCTTTGCAGGTTTGGATCTTTTCTTCTTTTAAATATGTCATGACAGTTCCGATGACCCAGTCATTGTATTTATTATTATTTTATTTTATTTGACCAGAGAGTGAGAGAGAGGGAAAAAGTGAGAAAGCAAGCTGCCAGGTCCAGGACTCAAATTGTAGTCAGCCATGTGGGAGTCCAGTTTCTTAAACATCATCCCATCCGCTGGTCCCACAGATTTGGATCTTAATATACTATGACTAAACTGAGTATTTTCCCACGTGAGAGATTGTCATTTGAACTGTCATAAGAAACACATAATAAAGTTAGTATGTTGCTTAAGTCTTAACCTGTAATACAACAATGGGAATCTCAAAAAGAGCGATATTTTTTCCCTATTAGGCATACGTGCCTTGAGGTGAAAAAGAGAGAGAAAGTAAGAAATCACCTCCAATGGGACCAGCAGGTGGTATGGTGGTTAAGGGCACTAGATTCCCACATGGCCTACTGTGGTTCAAGCCCTGGACCTGGCAGCTTGCTTTCTCTTTCTCTCTCTGTCCCTCTCTGGTCAAATTTAACTAACTAAGTAAATAAATAAATAAATTTCAATAAAATAATTCTTTTTTAAAAAAACAAAAGGGGGGAGGGAAAAAGTGAGAAAGCAAGCTGCCAGGTCCAGGACTCAAATTGTAGTCAGCCATGTGGGAGTCCAGTTTCTTAAACATCATCCCATCCGCTGGTCCCACAGATTTGGATCTTAATATACTATGACTAAACTGAGTATTTTCCCACGTGAGAGATTGTCATTTGAACTGTCATAAGAAACACATAATAAAGTTAGTATGTTGCTTAAGTCTTAACCTGTAATACAACAATGGGAATCTCAAAAAGAGCGATATTTTTTCCCTATTAGGCATACGTGCCTTGAGGTGAAAAAGAGAGAGAAAGTAAGAAATCACCTCCAATGGGACCAGCAGGTGGTATGGTGGTTAAGGGCACTAGATTCCCACATGGCCTACTGTGGTTCAAGCCCTGGACCTGGCAGCTTGCTTTCTCTTTCTCTCTCTGTCCCTCTCTGGTCAAATTTAACTAACTAAGTAAATAAATAAATAAATTTCAATAAAATAATTCTTTTTTAAAAAAACAAAAGGGGGGAGTCAGCAGGTGGCACGGTATTTAAAGGCACTGGACTCCCACATGGCCGACCACAGTTTGAGTCCTGGACCTGGAGGCTTCCTTTCTCCCTTTCCCTCTCTGTCTCTCTCTCTGTCTCTCTCTCTCTCTGGTCAAATTAAAAAATAATAACAACAAATGAAACTAAGTAAATAAATAATGTTTTTTTTAAAAAGGAAAGAAAGACGTCACCCCTAGAGGGGATAGCCATGCTGTAATCCCCTCCTTGGGATTTTGGGCATGTATGCACATGAGCCCAGTGTGATTTTCAGACTGCCAGATCTGGAACTTAAACTGTGTAATTGGCTGTGTGGGATCTAGCCATCCACCTGCTGGCCCAGTGTGCTCTATTTTTAAATAGATCTAAAAATATGTGCAGTGGATGTTTGTTTGAAATGAGTCAAATACATTAATTTTTTAAGGTTTATTTTTTTTTTCTATACAGAATATGCACTTGCTAGAGAGACAGAGAGATAAAAAGTAAGAAATAACCCCCCAGGGGGATGGCCATGCCACGATCCCTTCTCCATTCTCCTCTAGGAATTTTGGGCATGTACACACACATGCCCAGCATGAGTTTTAAGCTTCCAGGTCTGGGAATCGAACCATGGTCACCCATGTGAGAGTCCCACACCTTAACCACTATACCACCTGCTGGCTCCTCCCATGCATTAATTTATATACTGATGTACAAGTTGCTTCATATTTACATGGAGCTGTCAAAGAGCATTATCTTTTAAAAAAAAAATGGGTTTAGGGGTTTTGTTTTAAAGGGTTATGTCATTCTTTCATAAGTGAGACAGAGAGACAGCACCCAATAAGGTCTTGATACTGCTTCCACTCCCAGATTGTGGGCAGTTGCATGTGCCTGGTATACTTGGGGAGGTCTCCAGACACGAACCTGGAATCTTCCCGTAAGGGTCAGCCTCTCAGAGCATTGTATTTTATTGCTGTGCTACAATCCAGCCCCAAAAAGCATTATCTTACATTAAACAGTTACACTCTCCCTTAGCTCTGCTGACCTAACTTGAGCCCAAGACAACTACTGTATTATTTTGCTCTTACTCTCTGCCCCTAAGTATTTGAGATCATTCCATTTCAGGTGCTTCAGTTCTGTTGGTATAAAGTCAGTTTGCGGGACCAGCAGATGGTGTAATGGTTGTGTCACTGGATTCCCACAGTTAACCACAATTCAAGTCCTGGACCCAGTGGCTTCAAACTCAGGCCAGGAGCATGTGCGTGCATGCCCAAGGTTCCTAGAGGAGAATGGAGGAGAGCGGATTGCTATGTGGCCATCCCCCCTGGGGAGGTGATTTCTCACTTTCTATCTCTATCCCTCTCTGGTGAGCACATGCACTCTATATAACAAAAATCTCTCTAAAAAATAATTAATTAAAAAAATAATAAAGTCAGCTCCCTTGTTCACCTGAATAACAGCTTTTACATTGTTTAATAAAGGTGCTTACCAATTCATTCTCTTCAGTTTTTGTTTGCTTGTTTTCAAATATTGCTCCGTTGAGCTAGCTGGTATCTGTTGAAGTCTTTGTAGTTAAACTCCCAAGTTTCAATAGTTCCGTGGGTACCCTCTGATTGTATTGTCCTGTTTTAATATGTGACATGTTCTATTCCTCTTCATCAGAGAATTTCCTGCAATCTTGGGCAGAGTACCCATTCCCAGAAGCAACCACTTGCCTTTTTCTCTCTAAATTTCCCTTGGCATTTGTGAATATATTTTCCTCTGTATTTTTAAAAAGGAAAGTTGATCGATTATGTTTTTAGTTTCTTCTTTTTAATACTTGTATCTAATTTTCTTCGTGTAGAAGATTGTAGCATTTCTTCTCAAAGAAAATTGATATCAAATTTTCTTTTTCATTCTAATTCTCATCATGACTTTTTCCTTCTCTTTGGGAATATTCCTTCACTCCTGTTTTGTTTTGTTTTTTTTTTTTTTGAGAGATTTTCACTGTAGGGCGCGTGCGCTCGCCAGACAGACAGAGAGAGACATAGAGACAGAAAGCGAGAAATCACCCCCCAGGGGGGATGGTCACGCCGCAATCCCTTCTCCTCCATTCTCCTCTCGGGATCTTGGGCACGCACGCACATGCGCCCGGCGTGAGTTTTAAGCCACCAGGTCCGGGACACGAACCGCGGTCGACTACGTGGGAGTCCAGCGACATAGCCATTATGCTAACTGCTGGTTCCCCCTTCACTCCTGTTTTAGATTTCAAACTTAACTTCTTTTTTCAAGAATTATTTATTTACTTTTTAATTTATTAATTCACTTATTTTAATTTGATCAGAGAGAGACAGAGAGAGAGGGAAAGTGAGAAAGCAAGCCACCAGGTCTTGGACTTGAACCATGGTTGACCATGTGGGAGTATCCATCATTTCAAACACCAGACCACCTGCTGGCCCATGTTTTTTTTTTTTTTTTAAGAGAGATTTTTGCTATAGGGTGTGTGCACTCCTCGAGAGACAGAGAGAAAGACGAAGAGACAGAAAGTGAAAAATCACACCCCAGGGGAAATGGCCATGCCCCAACCCCCTCTCCTCTCGGGATTTTGGGCACGTACACACATGTGCGTAGTGTGAGTTTTAAGCTGCCGGGTCTGAGACTCGAACCTCAGTCAACTACGTAGAAGTCTAGTGATGTAACCATTATGCCATCTGCTGGTTTCTCAAACTTAATTATTAATCTGTCATGTAGTGAATCTTCCATACTCTGTGTTCTGATGTCTCATTTATTGTTTTTAATAAATTTATCATTTCTATTATCATTTCTTTCTGATTTTTCAATCCTCTCTATGCATGCACATGCACATGTTGGCCATGTGGGAGTCCAGTGCCCTTAACCACCACACCACCTGCTGGGCCCCCATCTCCAAATTTTCAAAGTTTGTTGTGTATTTTTGAAAACTGAAATGTTTTGGGGCAAACAGGTGACATGGTGGTTAAAGTGCTGGACTCCCACATGGCAGACCACAGTTCAAGTCCCAGACCTGGCAACTTGACATTCATTCTGGACACATGTGTATGCATGCTTTGAATCCCAGGAAGAGAACAGAGGAGAAAGGATTGTGGCATGGTCAGTGCCCCAGGAGAGTAGTTTCTCACTTTCTCTCTCACTGTCTCTTTCTGGCGAGCACTTGTGCTCTATGACAAAAATCTAAAAGGAAAAAATTAATTGGACTGCTTCAAGGTCAAATTATTTGACACCTGTGGCTTCCTGATGTAATATTGGTTTCATACCTCCATTGGTACGATGGAGGTATTCGTACCAATGGAGGTATGTCCATTATTATAAAGATCTATTAAAGATCTATTGAAGTAGGGATGACTACTGTTTGATCAGCCTCAGAATATTTCAGAAATTATTAAGAACTAGATTAAGGAAAAGGAGAGGATAATAAGAACTCAAGGGGGAAATGTGACAGAGAGAGCCTCCTTCAGTCAAAAGCTAGCAGCTGAGCCAAATAGGTACACAGAAAGTGTGTTTCATTTCCAAAGTTCTTTCTAGATGTTGGGAGTATCAATCCAGTGAAGTGAGACAAGGTACACCTTTGGGATTGGTGAGACACAATGATGTATAGCTCCTAAGTTATTCGACATCTACCATCTATATACTGCTTATCCTGTCAGACTCCTCCAACAAGATATGATTATAGAGGCCAGCAGATGGTGTAGTGGTTTTGTCGCTGGACTGCCACATGGCTGACCACGGTTTGAGTTCCAGACCCAGTGGCTTCAAAATCATGCCAGGTACATGTGCATCCATGACCATCCCCACTGGGGGCTAATTTCTCACTTTCCCTCTCATTGTCTCTATCTATTTGTCTCTCTCTGGCGAGTACATGTACCCTAAGGAAAAAACTTCCTTAATAAAAGATACAATTGGGACCAGCAGTTGGCATAATGGCTATGTTGCTGAACTCCCATGTAGTTGACCATGGTTCAAATCCTGGACCCAGTGGCTTAAACTCATGCCGGGCACATGTGTGTGTGCACGTGCCCAGGATCCAGAGGAGAGTGGAGGAGAAGGAATTGTGGCATGGCCATCCCCTCTGGGGGTGATTTCTTGTTTTCTGTCTCTCTGTCTCTATCTTTCTGGTGAGTGCACACACCCATAGCAAAAACCTCTCAAAAAAAAAAAAATTGCCAGGTAATATGTTTTCAACGTATGGTCCTTTGCACTAAAATCTATCTATAAACTTTTTTTTATAAAGATCATGCAGAAATTTTGTAACTCGGTTTGAAACTATTATTCTGAATATTATTCAATGTGTTAGTCTGCTCAGTCTGCCATAACAAAATACATAGACCGAGTGGTTTAAATAACAGAAATTTGTTTTTTCACATTTCTGGAGACTGGAAGAGGTTCTATCTTATTTGTTTTTTGGCAAGGTCTTTCTTTCTAGCTTTCAGATGGCCACCTTCTCCTCTTTCACTGGTATGTACACATGGGAAAAGACAAAGAGAGAGTGTATGCCTAAGTACATGAGAGCTACAGAACATGCTCTCTGGTGTCTCTTCTTAGAACAATAATCTAATTGATTCAGGGCTCCACCTTTATGACCTCGAGGCACCCCTCTCGAGATACAGCCAAACGAGGCATTAGGAATTAAAAATAGGAATTTTGGGGGTAGCACATTCAGTCCATGGCACTCATTTATGAAAATTGAATGTCTTTAAAATATTTTCTGATCTTAAATGTCATATTGGATAGTTTAGTACAGTATACATTATAGTTCAAACAGAAAGCAAAATACCCTATCAGCAATATGAATTCTGATAAAATTTAAGCAATCTGATTTATGACGGGTAAATCAGATAGATAAATAAATCTAATTTATGATGAAGTTTGGGTAAGAAAGAATGGTGAAATCACTGATGCTTTACAGAATGTTTTTGGGGGAAATGTTCAGAGAAATCATTAGCCCTCTGGGACCAGCAATTAGCGTAATGGCTATGTTGCTGAACCCCCATGGAGTTGACTGCGGTTCGAGCCCTCTACCCAGTGGCTTAAACTCACACCAGGGGCGTGTGTGTGCATGCCCAAGATCCCAAGAGGAGAATGGAGGAGAAGAGATTGTGGCGTGGCCATCCCCCTGGGTGGTGTCTCTCTGTCTTTCTGGCGAGCCCACATGCCCTATAGCAAAAACCTCTCCAAAAAAAAATTTTTATAAAAAAGAAACCATTAGCCCTATGCAGCTACAGACCATCCACATCAACTTATGAGGAAAAAGTTAATCTTGTTCATACCCTAATTGACAAGGATCAATGACGAACAGCAGAAACAATAGTTAACACCATAGATACCTTGTATGGTTCAGCTTACACAATTCTGACTGAAAAACTTAAGCCAAGCAAAACTTTTGCTCAATGAATGCCAAATTGTTGCATCTAGAGTAGCTGCAGACAAGAGGAGAGCTTCCAATAGAATTTTATACAAGTGAGATCAAGATCCTGAAGCATTTCTTTGAAGAATCATAAAGGGAGAGAATTGATACGGCTTTACTAGTGTAAAGACAAAGCACAATCAAAGCAATGGCTACCACAGGGGAAGTAGTCTACTCAGAGTAAAAGTGGACTGATTAAAGCAATCATGGCAGCAGTTCTTTGGTTTCCTCAAGGCATTTTGCTTATTGACTTTCTAGAGGACCAAAGTATGATATGAGTGTTTTGGAAAAGTTAGGGGAAGCTTTAGGAGAAAAACACCCAGGAAAGCTCCATCAGAGTCCTCTATTACAACAATGCTCCTGCTCTTTTCTCTCACCAACTGGACAATTTTGCAAGAGTTTTGATTGGGGAATCTTTAGATATCCACTTTCCAGTCCCGATTTGGGTCCTTCTGCCTTCTCTTTGTTTCAAATCTTAAAAAATCTTTACAGGGCACCCATTTTTCTTCAGTTAACAATGTAAAAAAAGATTGCATTTACATTGTTAAATTCCCAAGACCCTCAGTTCTTTAGGGATAGACTAAACGGCAGGAATCATTGCTTTATAAAGTGTTTTAACCTGATAGAGCTCATAATGAGAAATAAAGTATGTACTTGTTTTTTAATTGCTAGAGAGTGTATGCACTCACCAGAGAGAGCCAAAGAGAGGGAGAAAGCACCACACAATGGGACATGGTCAAACTGCAATACCCTTTCCTACATTTCTCTATCCTGTCAGGATTTTTTTAAATAAATAATTATTCTTTTAATTTAATTTAATTTATTATTATCATTACTAGTAATAGTAGTAGTG